AATTATCCTTTGATTCTTGAATTCTAAGTACCAACCTAAAACCTTGTCAACTCAATTTATCTCAAGTAATACTTGCAAGGTGTACGGCTTGCTCCAATTTATTTCTCGTTTCAAATAAAACCGTACACATGCCTGATTTTTCCAGCTCATCTTCCAATGCATATATTCAGTTATCTTGTTGGGTATACTTGTCCAGTGGTATGATTACCGGCATCCTGGATTTGTGTGTGCATGCTCATCAATGATTTTTGTGTTTCCTGCTGGGTTTTGCCTAGGTGGATTTTTATGGGCTTATTTATTTTATTGTTTATATGTATCTTGGATTTGGTTTCTGGTGCACTGCTGCGCTGGGTTGTCCTACTTTCAAGGCAATTTTGGGAGGTTTTGGATACAGCAGCTTAACCAGAATATTCTCATGACAACATTTGTTTCCAAAAGTTTTGATTCAAATGGTTTTTGGGGGCATTTGATGACACTTAGAACTGTAAAAAAAAAAACGTTGGAAAGAGACTTGAATAAGCTCATGTACCATGAATATATGAGGAGCTTTTCAATGGGGAGACAAACATTTCATGAAAAGGATGGGGAATTGAATTGGAAATGTGCAAGAACCATGAAGCCTGACTTGAACTATTCTTCCACTTTGAAATGAGTTCTTCTTCAATCTATATATTGAACGCTTTCGGCTTGAAAATGAGTGCGTAATGAATTCAAAAACTATCTTTAAAAGTTACGTATGTTTTCTAACGTTCTCGGAAAAAGCATTATTGTGATATCCGATTATATATGCAGAAGTGCTGAACGAATACAGCACACTGCATCATATTCACAGGATTAAATCAGTCTCCGAATATTACTTTTGAAAAGAGAGGAAGGGTTCTCATTCGAAAAGTGCTGCTGTTTTTGCGTGGTGTTTATGCATGGAAATGTATTTTTCAATTTATCGAACTCCTCGCCTGAAATATTTTCCATATGCAGCGTAGAAGTCCTGCAAGTTAACTTCTCGCTCAAAATTGCACGCAGGACTTAAATGAAATTCAGATGGAACTTGAGGGAATGAAAATATGGAATAACAAATAGTTTTGAGAGTCAGACTTGATGCTCCGGGGTAACCGCTGAAGTGTCATCAGACAGGGAATAGGTTTTTTTTCAATTTTAGTGGGATGAAAATAATGACTGCGGTGATTTAGACCCTTTCTAAAACGTTTTTTGTTCTTGTTTCCATTTTGAACATTTGCTCCCGTTTCTCCGCGTGTGGGAGAGAGAATTATTATTTCAGACTACGAAGGCTAGAATTTTCTTCAACTGCTGCTGACGAGGGACGCATTCTGCGGTCTTCTCTTCTCTCGGGACTAAATTAAACCTAAGCTTTCCAGATTACAGACCATTGAAATAGGGGGTTCTTTTGTCCCAGGCCACGCTTCAAAGACCAAAATGCTGCAGGTTTAGACTTCTGGCTCGACCAGCATGCTTTTGAAGCGAGGGCATCTCCTTTGATGACACCCCTGACACCCAAAGCAGGGGCCTTTTCATCAACCTTACCCTGCATATACTGGGTTCGGGGTTGCCTTCAAAAACCGAGAGCCCTCGAGCATCGCTGTTCTATCTCTCTTCATCGCACAGGAACATTCACCCGGAAGCACATTGCAGACACCCGTTGCTGCTGTTGCTGAAGCTTCGTCGTCTATAATGCGTTATTTTAATGACATACACGCTGTTGTTCGACCAGGGGTGTCTTCAAAATCCAGTTGAGATTTCATGATCTCCCATACACAGCTGGACCTTGCTAACTGGTCACGAAGATGTGAACATTTTACATGTGTAATTTTTTTTTTAGTTTCAGCCCAAAGTCCCTCAAGAATTGTGAAACATATGGAAGTGCTCTTTCAGCCTGAAATATAGGGTTCAGAAGTTCCCTAGCAAAGAACAGTGATTAAAATTGTAAGTAAAGCCAATAATCAGCCTGCTGGGACTGGCTGGGAGCCTCTTCATATATAGAAGCTCCAAAAAGAATTGGGACTTATTTTGTTTCAACCCCGCATATAATTAAACTCAGAGAATTTTTGTAACTTACTCCAAAATAATTTCATAAAACACTAACATAAATTTAGGAAATGATTTTGATGGGTTCAACCTTGGGTTTTTCAGGACTAAGGAAAAAATCTCTCGCAGAAAGCATACCTTGGAAGATATTTTTGAAGAAAAAAATTCAAGAGAACATTTGGAAACAGACCTATGCTATTGAGAACATTTAGCCAATTTTCTTTTTTTATTGTTGTTCTGAATAAAAATATGACTGAAAATTTTCCAAAATTGCACAAAGTGTAGAAAAGACAATGACTAAAACAGCACACACAGTTCACTTTGTTAGCTTGGCAGACACATCTTTAAAGCCTTGTAGCATGTGTGGAAACCTGTGGCAGAAACTGGAAATTTTTCACTTATTGTCATGCAGTAACTTGAAATTTGATTTAAAAATGCTCTTGAAAAATCCCAGAGCCTTGAAACATCATTAGACTGTATTACACATTTTTTATGATCATACTAACGCAAAAAATACCGAAGGACAACTCAAATGATAGCAACACTTGTATGTAAGATACACAGATTTGAAGACACAATTTTAGTATGTTCCCTTTCTCCCTTGAAAAGTCCCCTGTACATTACTTTGCTGCTTCACCATGATGTCCATCATCAAGCATCAATCAAAATGCTTCCTGTTAAACCGCTCTCTATACTTGTTCCACGTGAATTTCATCGTGTGCTGCATCACTCAACATATGAGTGACATGGACTTTAAAGATGTATAAACTGCATAAGGTATTCGTATCCTATATAATCACACTGCTGTCATGAGGACTTCGGCGGCGAAATCGTCATTAGAGCGGTAACTTATGCTATAGTGACACAATTATTCGATGCTCATCTACGCTGGAGAAAATGTATATGGATCCCGGTATGATTTTTGATGTCGACTTTGAGATATCAAGGACGATCAATACTGACTGAAATGGCGCAGAGTGCCCCAAAGTCAAAATGTCCATAAGTTTAGTCACATTTTCCATCNTCTTCAGCCGTAATCCGCTTCAGCCTAATGGAATAATGTAGTCATTCGTAAAAGGACCATGGATTCTCTATAGACTCGTATACCAAGTTTGCTCAGTAGAAATGCTCAAGCCTATGATACAACACTGTACTCCGAATCTTGAAAGGGGGTATTGTGCAGTTGTCCCTTTTGTGCCAATTGCGATTCGACTCGGCACTCACAATAAGGCATTGAATTCCGTATATATAGCGATAGGGGCTCTGGATTCTCCATAGGTGTGGACATTTATTGTTAATGAACAATGGAAGACTACCAGCAGTGCCCTGGCTAACAAGGTTTTCCCGTCTTTTGGAAGTTATATATATTTCAGCCGTTCCCCGACTTACGGACGCCCTGAAATATGGACAATGCGATATAGGAAAATTGGAATATAGGCGAAAAGGCTGCCCATTAATACGGTATATCGACAGTCTTCACTTATACACTTTGCCAAAATTACTGAAAAAGGGGAAGTTTAATTCTTCAAAATTTTGATATCTATGCCAAAAAATTGAGCAATTTATATTCACAAAAATTCAAATTTAATCTTACTATAAAATGGTTTCCAATTTTTTTCCTCTTTTTGAGAATAATTTCCATCATCTGTATATTGTACTCAGGATATATGCGTTTGTAATTTGCTTTTTGGGATCCTTTTCATGCCAAAAATGGCAGATTGTGTGTGTGGCTTTCTTCTGCACAGTTCTTCTCTCTGTTTTGAAGTTCAGAATAACAACGTTTTTATTACGTTTTTTGAAGAATTTTTCATATGTTCTAACTGAAGTCTATATACGTAAAGGCAGGATCAAAACATTCCGAATTTTGACAGAGGAAAAAAAAGGTCCAAGAACCAATTATATCCGCATTTCGGAGCATCATCCCTGCATTTTTTTTTTTTTTTTTTTTCTACCAAAAAGGGATGATGAAAAGTTCAAACTAATCTGATGAATTCTCCTTTCCAAAGTTGCTTTAGTTTTCGAATCTATGCTCATGTATTCTTTCCGGTCCAGTTCTATAAAGATTGCATTCAAAATATATCGGTTCAATAATTCATACATGATAGGAATACGAAAGAATTCACTTTCTTGATTAATTTTTGCGTCATATATGTTTCCACTGATGATCATAAGGCAATTTAAGAGTGAACTGAAGCAATTCATTCCTTTCTTCTCTTTAAATTCAAAATTGTCTTTCTATACCCTTTTTTTCATAGGTGCTCAAGATGGGTGGCATCAAAAGCCGGAATGTTTCTGTGGAAAACCGAAGAATCTTTTCGTCCTTGGAACGACTAGAAGAACTAGAACTCAGAGGAAGTCCCGGCTTATCCCAAACCATTATCGAAAGTGAGGAAATGTTGAAAGACCTGAGCAACGTGAGATCCTTGGACTTGTCCAACAATGGTCTTAAATTCATTGGCACTGCTTCCTTCTTCGAGCTTCTGGGGAATCTTGAGTCACTGGACTTGAGAAGAAATGAATGGGCCTGTGAAAATGAGTCTATTTTGGTTTTGGCCAAGGAACTGAGTGGAAATCAAAAGCACAAGTTTTTGCAGCCGATGAACATCAAGTGCTCTTCTCCGGTTGAGGTGAGATGGAATTATTGTCTTTTCCTTATTGACTTGTGAATAACTATTTTTTCAAGTGGATATCGAACAGGTTCCTCACATCTAGTTCGGAATATAAGGCAATTTTTCTAGAGGTATTCAAATTTTCGAATATACAGTCTTATCTTTGGAGTCAAACTCAGAGGGACAAACAAAATATTCACGCAGGGGAGTGTTTGAGTTTAATGAAATTTTGTACGTTTTTTAAAGAAAAAATGTGCATAAATATGAAACGGTAGAACTATGATCTTTTGGTCATTACATCTTAAATGATTCAACAGGATGCAGACCTTCAAAAGCAAGTGATTTACCTAAATATTCCCTCAAATCCTTTTGAGAACATCAATTTCGAATATTTCCACCTCTTTTTGATTCAATTAATATAGCGCTTAGAATAAAAGCCTTGAATTTCTAGAAAATTCCAAGCATATAAATTTGAGAGGAAAAACGTATTTGAGTCACAACGAATTTCTCAATTCCCTAAAATTAATTTCCAGTATGACATTCAGAAATTTTAGTTTTGTATCTTGATTTAAACACTCCAATTTATGACCGAGAAACTTGAATTTTTTTAACATTCAGACCACCGATGTACAACAGTCATGCATACATTTTTGCATATTCTTGAAAAGCGTAAGCAATAATGAAGCATCTGTGAATATAAATTTAAATTATACAGACTTGTCATCATTCAAAGGCGAGAAGGAAAAAAAAATTCTGCTCAGGTCGTTTAGGAAAAAGTCTGAATGCCTAATTTACTTGAGTGCGACACTTACACCCTCAAATATGACTTCAATTCGAATTTTTTGGCCTATAAGTTTGTCCAAATACTGTACCAGAGTGAGAAGCACATGCTAATCTTTTTAGTGACTGAAAATCTTCAATATATCAAAAATTGAAGTTCCGAGATATTAAATCTGGACATTTATTAGTCCGGAATACGACGATACAGTTGCAATTTGTTTTCATTTACCACATCCCTGTAGGATTTTAGCAAAAATATCCCTTCAGATTTGAGTGAGCCATGCACTTACACTCGTGCATTTTCATCACGCCTACATGAAAAAAAGCTTCTTTTTTTGTGTGCTCAATTTCGAGAAAAAGTGGGAAAGGTATTGGCACTCGAGTAAATACGTGTATGGAAGGTTCTCGGATATTTTCGAACTTATCACTCCTCAGAAGTTGGTACAGTATCTCGAAAATAACACAAAATCACCAGCATCCATGTTTTCGCACATCACAAGCCATGTTCGTTCCTTCCCCCTTTATTTCGCTTTCTGGTTTTTTCTTTTCGTCGTCCTGGGTTCCGAGGGTTGTTTTCATCTCACTGCCACGTATATACACAGCAGTGATGATGAGAACCGTTTCAATTTTTCTCTGGAGTGCACTTTGATGTAGCTCAGGGTTCGATTCGCAGATGGAATCAAAGCCCGTGGCGAAACTCGCGGAGGAAGCGACTCAGGAGACCTCTTCGATCTCTGCTGTTTCTATTAGGTTTGTCCTGGATGAAAAAGCCAAAGAAGAAAATAATAGCTATACATCTTGCTTTTTTTTCCTTTCACGAAAAAAAGCTCTTTGATCATGTCGAAGCGAGCGGAGAACCCTGACGATGGCGAGCTGCTGCTTCTGCTGGGCACCAGCAGAAACCCGAACCCTGATCCTCATCCGAGCCCGGAGATCGAAACCAAGGTTCCGTTTTCCCCGTCGCTGACGAGAGCCGCCGCTTCGCAGAAACTGACGGAGACATTCGGGAGAGGCAATGCGTTAACGAGGCCCGAGAAATTGGCAGGTCCTCTGTCCCCGGATTCCTTGTTCAGCGCCCGGGAAATGCCGGCCAACGATTTGGCACTCGCAGTCGTGTTGTCGTGTTTCTGCGGACTGTTTCTCATTTTCGCAGTCGTGCTGGTGTTTCTGAAGAAGTCGGGGTCCCGGATGGATCGGGATGGTGCCAAGCAAGCCATTTTGGCAGCTCCAGGTATATATTATTTGTGATGAAGTACTGACAGTTCAAAGTTTCACTTCCGAAGAATGATGCCTTTCCAGCAAGTTTACACATGTGTCATAAGGACTACTGATTTATTTATAAAGTATAATATTTATCTATATCCTGATTTATTTATACAGTAAAATATTCATCTATATACTAATTTATTTATACTGTATAATATTTATCTATATACTGATTCATTTAAATTTATCAATACAGCATAACACTATTTCATTCTCCACCCAATTTATGAATGCTAGTCATACTGTTTCATTTTGATATAAAAAAAGTGTTTTGATCACATGGGGAAGTGGCAGCCTCCTTTCCATCCCAGGGTGAAGTTGGACTTGGTTTTTTGTTGGGCCACAATTTAATTTTCACCCAAGGTTATGCAACCCCTGCCAGGTGAGGAAGGGCATCATGGGATTTTATCTAGGGATAAAGAAATGCTACAATATTCCCAAAGCAGATTTTTCCCATGGTGATGTTTAGCTTGTACTCCTGGCTTTCAAGCTTAAATTTAACCTTTCAATGCTGGAACAATAGAAGGCAAAGGGGAAAATGTGAGCCTTGAAGATGTAATTCTTTCATTCCCGAGTAACATTTTTCTTCGAAAAAAATTGACCTTTTCCTGACTTTGCCCTGCACACATTGTCATGATTTTTTTAAATGTCATTGTTGAGTTCACCCAAAATCTGCAAAAAAATCCTACCTTGTTGCAGGAGGATTAGGCATTATTCTTTTGAAGAATCTCCAATCCTATCATGTAAAACTTCAGCCTCTTTTTCCAAAAACAAAATAGGGCAAAAAATATTTAAAAAATCTGGTCTAAGGGTGCTTCTGTTCAGATTTTTCTCCAAATTTTATAAATTTTTGGTGTTTGTATGATACCTTGAAAAGATCCGGTGAAGTTGAAAATATATTATAGGTTCTAGAATGACTGAAAATGCTGTACATACAGTTCTACCTCAATAACTCCAACCTTTCCAAGACATATATGTCCCTGTGTATAATTTTTATGAAGTCCCCTTTTAATTTTATCAAGAAAAATATACCCAGCAGAGAACACAAAGTTGTCCAACTTTGTCTCAAACCTAATTATAAAAAATTTTTTCTGCAAAAAAGCCACAGAAGAGTCATTCAACTCTAAGAAACATGATTCAGAAAGTAATGCTGAATGTTCTATCATTCTCAGGATTCGATTGATGGCTATTCTAATTATATTACTGTGATGCTCCATTATTATTACGAGACTGTAATCTCATATATCTGAAAAAAAAAACAATTGCAGGTGATTACGAAAGTCAGAACTCGGAAGCAGATCTCCGGACTCAGTTCCGGTTCAGCAGCATCAGCAGCAGTCCCGAAGAATACACCACCATCACCAACAAACTAACCAATTCAGATCTGCTGACTCAACAAACAACATTGCTGACCCAACAAAACCCGCAGCAGCAACATCAAAACCCGCACAAGGCCTTCCGTCTGTTCGTGGACTGCTGTCCGACATTCTCGTACGTCGACGACGACGACTTCGACGACGACGGATCGTCGACAGACTCGGATGACGAGACTCCTATCGGCGAAGCGGGGCCTGCGACGGTGTCAGCTCTCTGCGACGCTGTCGACTCTGGCAGAGGCTACACGACGACGACGACGACGACGTCAATGTCGTCATCCAAACCGCGTCGCCTCAAGTCCACCACGTCCTTTTACAGCCTCAGGGCCACGTCAGCCACAGCTGCGCTTTTGAACTCGACAGTGTCGAGTCCTCCTCTCATTGACCATGACGACGTCTCGACACACAGCTGCTGAAAAAAAAGAAAGTGTTCGTCGCCAAGAAAAAAGAAGTGTTTCATTTTTTTTTCTTCCGAAAAAGGCAACTCTGGTTTTGGAAAAGGGTGACTTTCTCGCATACCAATAGAAGTTGGAGAGTTCTTATGTAGGGAACAGTGCCCTTCTTGTGCCACACAACAGAGAACAGATTGTCACTGACATTCCATTGCTTGTTTTTTTTTCTTGTTGGTAATAAGCTCGAAAATGGATGTGTGTTGAGAAAAGCCTGGGTTTTCATGGATGCTAAAATCTACCTCCGAAAGAGGTATTGTTTATTCCGATCGATCGCGGTTTGAATGCCGAAAATGAAAACGTTGCTTGATGATATACGCGGAGAAGACGAAATAAACTGACCCACGTTTCATGAGGTATTTTAACAAGGTCCATGATGATTTTCCATTAAGAAATTCCGTCTTCATCCCTTGCTCACCAGAGTTCAACGAAATGTCCTTCTGTCGTCGTCGTCGTCGTCGAGGAATTCTCCGAAAAAGGGGGGCTCGGGACTTTATTACCCCTTCAGAGGATTGTGTTCCTGACGATATAGCCATTTGTGAGACCTGGGTCATAAAAATTTCAGGACGACTTCAGCAGCAGCGCCTTCAATGCTCCAGAAATTCTTACCGGCTTTCCCCGGGCAAACACGAATGGAACCCAAGGTTCGGGTTGCCGAGGAGCAGTTACTTACCCGCCATTCGTACGAGTACAAGGGATCTTTGGCAAGTTTAGGGTGATTTTTGACAGCTTAAAGGCTGCTGAAAGCTTGAAATCCTCCAGACCTTGCTAATGACGACACAATATCAATTTTACATGAGGAAAAAATGTTAACTGCAAAAATTTGCAAACTAATTTAGAAGTTGCGCTGATTTTGTAGATTTGAGCCCACGAAAGAGTAAAACAAATAGCTCAGAAACCAGTCAACGGTTTGGCGTTTATTTTACTTTGAAAATTGATTGAATCTAATGAAATCGAAGATGATTCGATATAATTTTACAGGATTTTACAGAACATTTTATTTCAAATTATGACATTTCTTCTTGAATTTTAGACGGCTTTCATAACTCAACATTGATCATGCCTGAAATAAAAGCTTAGAAACGTAACAGAAGCTAAATTTTTATTCGAATGAATTGAAAATATTTTGCTAATCAGAAGAACAAGAAGAGTAAGTGGAAAATATAATACAATGAGACCCCCACATGCGGACACCTTGACCTGTGGACAATTTGACATAGGGACACTTATTTTCCCAAAAAAGAATAATAAAAAGGGCCCAAAATGAGGGCACTGACTTGGCATAGGGACATTTTGGGATGAAGTTGAATAAGGTACCAGAATTCAATTCCACAAATATCCATATTTGTGTGGAAATATATTGATTCAATCAGTTTAAATTGGGAGAGAATTTTTATTTACATGGAATTATGGTGTGTTTTTTGTACATAAAACACCAATAAAAAATTATATTAGGTAAGTCTAAGGGAAAATGAGACTCAACTGAGGGACACTCCTGATGCACCAATTAAGTCAACATCTTGGCATCTTACTTTATAATATTTCAGAAAACAAAAATGAAGTTGTGCAAATTTGCCGTTCTCAAAAATAACCAGTGGAACTATATTTCAAGTCAGATAAACACCTCAAATTGTTTAAACCAATTCGACAAAAGTTTGTCTTTTGCCATTCATTTGCAAAAGCTGATTAAAAAGACCTTGCATGATTTTTACGTAAACCAACAAGTGAAGACTTTTTCATGAATTCGATTTCTCACACATTTTTCTGAGATGAATTCCTGTTCAAAAAAAAAAAAACTCTCCAGGTTTTCTACAACAACAACAACAACAAATGTTTGGAATCGCAGATTTGCTGCACTGAATTTTCGTTAAAAAACGCCAGAGCTGCAAAAATAACAAGGAACTGCAGATCACTGATACCTTGGAGAGGAAGAACATCGTATTCAGAAGAAGCAGATTATTAAAAGGAATATTTTGTACATCGTCGACGTACATTGGAATTAGGAAGAAACTTGGAGGAAGTTCTCCGTTGCACTAGTATATATATATATTTATATATATAGCTGGCCTTAATAGCACGTTGGATAAGTTCTCCAAACGAAGCAGTGCGTTCCCCGAACTTAGCTTTTTAATTACATCTCCTGATGAAGGAAACTTTTACCCCGACCAACAGCACAAAAACTAATTTCCTGTATTGTATACTTTCGAAATTTCATCCGAGCTGTCGTACTTCTCTCGAATGCACCCGTGATTCACTGATTCATGCGTTGGTTTTCGTAAAACAACGAATGAGTCATGATGGTCTTCATGTCGTTTTCATAATTTTCAAATGTTCCTTTACTTTTTCCATTTTTTTAGGGCGTGACACAGCGTTCTGGAAAATATTCAGAAGTATTCTTTTTTACTTTTTCAAGAGCTCTAAATGATATTTCAGAAGAATGCTGTGTCCAAAAAACAGAAATGAAGATTCTAAACGTATCATTTGTGGATCAAGAAAGCTTTTGTAAAAAAATTATTTCCAAAGAGAGGATTAACGTACTTACTCAAATTTTTAACAATTTCATCAAACAATTTTCAGTATACAATGTGTGCTTGCAGAATGAACTTCTGTCAGAAATGAGGAGCTATCAGAAATAAATCAGAACCCAAAAATTAGCAGATGTGCCATCTCCCAGGAATGAGATACAAATGTGTTTACACGAGTCGGAGTATTCACAGTGTGAATGCGGAGCAGAAATATTCACACTTGAAAATGGATTTCATGCTGTCTATATGCAAAAAAATGTGTAAAAGACTTTTTATGCAAATTTAAAAAACAAACACAAAACTCAGCTGAACTGACATATATAAATTGATTCAGGGCCTTTTTACAAATTTTGACCCCACTACCTGCTTTATAGGGGTATGTCAACAGCAATGGCAGGAACTTCCACCGGGATTCCAGTAAATTTTGTCAGGAAATTCCAGGCCAATTTATCAGATCATGGTAGCTAAGTTGGACTTTTTTCAAAACTTGGTGCCTGTATAAGAAAAGCTTTTAAAAAACATAGCAGTGCATTCAGATTTTTTTTTTCTCATTCGTGAATTAGTTTTTTTCAGCTTCTTATTGGCCCTTCCATTTTGGGCACCAGAAGAAGGACTTCCATTTAGAGGCCACAAAAGAATAGTGGGACAAGTCTTATATGGAAAATCAAAACCACAGCTTTTTTTCAGCCAAAGTCTGACTTCGCCCTAGGCAACACAGCTTGGTGGTTAAGGCAATCAACAAAATTTAAACCTGTGCCCATTCCAGTAAATCTGAACCTTGTCCCACAATGGGAAAGAACCTGTTGCTGCAGAAGGGTTAGTTAGGACATTTGTCTTCCCAAAAAGGGGAATTTGTAGGGTAGAGAGCCAAAACATCATTCTTTTTTGTGTGGCAATTTTCCCTCCCCTAGGGTTAAATTCTCCTTGGAATTCCCCCATCTGGCAGCACAATTAGATTGTAAAAGGTCGACAATAGATCCTGCTTCTTGGGCACTTTTGCTTCATTAAACTTGAGGGTTAGCTGACTGATTTCATCCCAAGTGTCTTTCTTGATGGCTTTATTGCCACCAGGTGTTTCTGTCATCTATCTTTTCGCTCACTGATTTTCACCAGCATGCAAGGCTGACAAATAATCCCCAGTTCGGGAAAGCCCAGAAAACACATCAAAAGAAGACACTAAAGTTGTTGTATCTTTACAACCCATTTCTGGGAATTTACTTTTTTTTTTTGGTTGTGGATGGTTTTATCAATAAATGTTTTCAGGAGGAATTTTTCAATTATTCATGCATGAAGAGTAGGTATTTGATTTGATTCATTCATTTGACAAATATGAATTCATTCAGTATTTGTACAGGAATACTGCAGACACGTAAATGTAAGGGAACTTCAATTTTATTCCTAACTCAAACTTTTCCGGTTGAACCACGAAATTTCGGAATCATTACTCAAAGTTGGTCCTTGCGAATTTGCCTGTTTCTCGGAACCATTTGAATTTTTCTGAAATCAAGGGGTGCGTCTCACTTATGGTTGACCTTTATTATTGTCACTAAAAATTTATTTAGTTAGAGTTCGCATAAATGTAAAAATGTTCCCAGGAAAACCTTTTCGAGT